TGTGCCCTATAGCAAAAACCAATCCAAAAAAAAGAGTACAACAATATTTAAGACTTTAGAGAGATTTTTGCTCTAGGGCACATGCACGTGCTGGAGAGACAGAAACTGAGAAATCCCCCCCCCCAGGGGGGATGGCCATACTGCAGTCTCCTCCTCCATTCTCCTCTCGGGATCAGAGCAGGCATGCACACGTGCCCAGAGTGAATTATAAGCCATCAGATCAGGGACTCTAACCACGGTCGACTACATGAGAGTCCAGCAATGAAACCATTATGCCATCTGCTGGTCCCAAGACCTAATTTTGTCCTCGAGGAACTTAGTCTTTTTTTTTTTTCTTACTTTTTTTTGAGAGATTTTTGCTGGACTTATGACCTCACCAGAGAGACAGAAAGTGAGAGATCACCGCCCCTTGGGGGGGATGGCCACACCACAATTCCTTCTTCTCCATTCTCCCTTTGGGATTTTGGGCATGCACACACATGCACCTAGCCTGAGTTAAGTCACTGGGTCCGGGATTCAAACTGGTCAACTTCGTGGGAGTCCAGCATAACTATAAAACCATCTGCTGGTCCTGAAGAACTTAGTCTTATAAAGAAGATATGCAGTAGGATAATGATTCCTGTAAGAAAGATATCTAGGGCTAGTTGGTATCATGATGACTGAGGTGCTGGACTGCCACATAGCCAACCATGGTTTGAGCCCTAGACCTGGCAGGTTGCTTTTTCACTTTTTCTCTCTCTGTGTCTCTCTTTGTTGGGTGCATGTCCTCTATAGTAAATTTTAAAATAATAATAAAATATTTTTTAGGGAAAGAAAAGCCATCTGAAGAGTGACTTGGGAAAAGTGGAGGAAATATCTGACTGCTTCGGAAGAAGGGGGAGGACTTCAAAGAAGGATGGCATCTTTGATGTTTGAGTAGATAACATTAAAAATTCCTTTGATAAACATAAAAATCTAATTATAATGTCCTGTTTAATGAAATTTCAGGATAAATTAGTTTCTAACAGCAAATCAGTGATAACTTTAGAATGCTTTTCCAAATTATGTTTGCCCTCTATTCCAATATTCTAATGTGTTCTTGAAGGGAGGGGATTATCTTAACCTTCATAACTTTAAACCATGGTTTAAATGTATCATAATTTATTTAACTAGTTCCCATTTTTTGATACCTAAGCTTACAGTTTTTGCTATTATGAATGGTGTTATAAGGAATGTTGTTTTACATCCGTCTTTGTATACTTATATAGTATATTTAGTATGGGTTCCTAGATGTAGAATATTGAATCTGATACTTCTATTAAAATCCCTATTTCTTCTTTTTTCATCTGTCATCATCCTTTGTATTTTAAAAAATAACGTTCTTTGCATGTTATGTTTTCATAACATAGCTTATGTTATGGGTTTTTTTGATACATGTATTTTTGTCAATAAGTAGATAAAATGTAAATTAAACATCTGTTGGTCTTTTGGCATGTAAGTTGGTAGAGTAAGGTGGTACACAGAAGTTGTGCCTCTGATAATATGGTTTAAGGTAATACAGTCATGTGTTGGTTAACGAAGAAGGTATGTTCTAGGAAATGCATCATTGGGCTATTTTGTCATGTGCAGATATCATAGAATGTACTTACACAAACCTAGCTGGTTCAGCCTAAGGCTGCATGGTATAACCCATTGTAGTGCTTTGGGATCACCGTTGTATGTGTGGACCACCATTGACTAACTGTTATTATGGAGTGCGTGACTGAATATTGGAAAGGAAACCATGCCAATTTTGTTGTTAAGAGAACTGATCTCTCATGGCTAACTGCTATTCAAATGCTGGCCTAGGAGCTTGAAAAATATACAAGGCATGTGTATATTTCTATAAATTTGCATCTAATGGCAAGTTGCAGTACAGTAAAGTGAATGTCAACATATTTCATCGTAGCAATGTGAATATTGGTACAATGCATTTTTTTCTATTTATTTATTTTAATTTATTTCTAGTGAGATTGTGTTCTATAGCACACCAACTAGTGATTTGGTTTGCAAGATTTACAGTTTGTTTTCCTAGGATTTGTGAAAATGTTTGGATTTTCCTGGAAAACAAATATAGTAAATATAATTGTTTCAATCTTTCTTTCATTTGAACCACTGTTCTCCCTCTTTTTATTACCTTTTTTAATGTGCTTTTTTTTTTTTTTTTTTTTTTTTATCATGAGCAAGAGAGACAGTATCCCCTCCACAGGGTCTAGACACTGCAATCCACCCCAGCTTCAACCAGCCCTGAATCATGACCCACAATAGAGAGGCATCACTGATTTTAGAAGAAATAACAATAATGTAATTCTGCCTAAATAATTTATTCTAATGAACTGGCACTGAATTTGCTTTGTGCTATAATTATTAACAATTTTACTATTTAACAATTATTAAAAGTTTTAAATTCTTTCTTTTTTTTTTTTTTTTTTATTAAGAGGTTTTTGCTGTAGGGCATGTGTGCTCGCCAGACAGACAGAGAGAGACAGAGAGACAGAAAGCGAGAAATCACCCCCAGGGGGGGATGGCCACGCCGCAATCCCTTCTCCTCCATTCTCCTCTCGGGATCTTGGGCACGCACGCACATGCGCCTGGTGTGAATTTTAAGCCACCGGGTCCAGGACTTGAACCACGGTCGACTACGTAGGAGTCCAGCGACATAGCCATTATGCCAACTGCTGGTCCCAACGTTTTAAGTTATTTCTGATTTTTGTTTTTATTTACCTTACAAGGAAGAAGTTTTTCAGAATTTTAGTTTTAGTGATAAGATTATTGTATTAAAGTTTTTAAAACACCTGCTAGATTGTCTGTTATCTTTTCTTTAAGATCTTAAAATCTCAGCGATTATAATTAGGTCGAACACATTCTCAGCAAAATCTTTGTGGGTTTCTAGATGTGGAAGTCTTTAAAAATCTTTAAATTTTATTATACTAAACAAATTTTAAGTTGGAATTATCTTTATTTCTGCTGTTTTGATTTTCTGTCAGAATTTCCTAGCTGTGTTCAGCTAAGTCTAAGAAATTTTCTTGTAGGTATCAGGCAGCCTAAGGGAAAGTTATTTAGTTTTTTTTCTTTGTGGTATGTGCTTACCAGGCAGAGTAGCCACTGTATTCCAGGAAGAGAACCTATTGCCAAAACACCCACTAGAGCAGAAAACTGACCTACTTACTGCTGACAAGTTTAAAAAAAAAAAAAAATTGTGTGGAATTGTAGCAGCATTTGATCAGCCTTCTTCCTTCTTTGGTGGTGGATGGGGTGTGGGTAGCAAAGAAATTGAGAAAGGATATTGAACACTACAGGGGAGTAAGTAATACACTAAATGGATATTTCATTACCTGCAATCTACTCAATAAAAGCTATTCATTGGTGCAATTGGAAGGCTTCTACAGTGCAGCGATTCTCTTACAATTACTTTAAACTTAAATAGCATAGGATACTCACTCCCAGGACTTTCATGATAATAATCTAGAAAAGTTAACTAGTTAAAAGTTGGCAGTTAGCATTTCATGAATGATTGTTTTTTTACAGGATATAGTCAATTTTTTTTAAAACCTTCATTGTTTTGTAGTGTACTCTATTTTGGAATTTACAGCTATCAAGACAAAAAAAGATTAATTATGATATTTACTTGTAAAAATGACTATGGGCCTTAACTTTATCAAAATCACTATTTCCACTGTTATCCACCTAATTTTGTACTTATTCTCAGCATCACTAGTATTTAAGTTTTAGGACTGTGTCATTCAGTAAATGAGGATTTCAAAAAGTTCATGGAAAAATGCTATTAACATATGAATTTATTTTGGTGCAGAAAAGTTTGAAATCCATGCAGTTTTTAAAAAAAATACACGTTCTCCACAAACTTTTTGAAGATTATGCACACAGAAGCCACTAGCTATATGTGGCTGTTCAAATTTAAAATATTTAGAGACCAGCAAATGGTGTTATGTCACTGGACTCCAACGTAGTTGACTGCAGTTTGAGTCCTGGACTCCGTGGCTTAAAACTCACACTGGGCATTTGTACGTGTGTGCCCAAAATCCCAGGAGGAGAATGAAGGAGAAGGGATTGCAGCGTGGCCATCTTCCTGGGGAGTGATGTCTCTCTGCCTTTCTCTGTTTCTCTGATGAGCACACACGCCTCATAGCAAAAATCTCTCAAAAAGAAAAATTTTAAATATTTAAAACCAAATAAAATAAAACTCTAGTTCCTCAAACCAATCACATTTCAAATGCTCACAGGCTAGTGGCCACCTATTATATAACACTAATATTAGAACTTTTTTTTTTTTGGAGAGGTTTTTGCTATAGGGCGTGTGCGCTCACCTGACAGACAGAGAGACAGAAAGCGAGAAATCACCCCCCAGGGGGGATGGTCACGCCGCAATCCCTTCTCCATTCTCCTCCCGGGATCTTGGGCACGCACGCACACGCGCCCGGCGTGAGTTTTAAGCCACCGGGTCCAGGATGTGAACCGCAGTCGACTACGTGGGAGTCCAGCGACATAGCCATTATGCTAACTGCTGGTCCCTGGAGTAATCTTTTTTTTTTATTTTTTTTTTCACTATTGGGCGCGTGCGCTCTCCAGACAGACAGAGAGAGACATAGAGACAGAAAGCGAGAAATCACCCCCCAGGGGGGATGGTCACGCCGCAATCCCTTCTCCATTCTCCTCCTGGGATCTTGGGCACGCACGCACACGCGCCCGGCGTGAGTTTTAAGCCACCGGGTCCGGGACGCGAACCGCGGTCGACTACGTGGGAGTCCAGCGACATAGCCATTACGCTAACTGCTGGTTCCCGCTGGAGTAATCATTTTTGTATGTCATTATAGTAAAGTCTTTATTTCTGGGAGGAAATTAAGAACCTCCTTTTTAAAAAATTTTACCTATATTTTGTTTGGAGTTATCATATCAGTGTAATGCAATAATAACTGTGTTACTAACAACAACTTTGTGAGATGCTTATTATTCTCATTTTGCAGATGAGGAAACTGAGACTTGGTGAAGTTACGAAACTTACTCAGAATCACTCAGCTTGTAAAGGCCACAACCAAGAATCACAGCCAGGTCTGTCCAACTTCAAAACTCTTAATAATGGCCATTGAACTTTGAAATAGCTGTGAAATATCAACCTTTGATAAGTTGCATTAGTATTGCTTAACTATTGAACTCTTACTGATAATTTTTTTTTATTGATGGGTTTTTATCCTTCATAATAATTTCATGTATCTTTTAAATATTGTGAAAAGCAGTATAACATAGTAATTAAGGGTCTGGGCTCTGGAAATAGACTGCTGGGTTTGAATTCCTAAGCTTTTCCACTTGTTGTGTGACATTGGGAAAGTTGTTTAATTTTTCTATACCTTAGTTTTCTCATTTATATAATAGTGATAGTGGGACCAGCAGGTGGCTTGGTGGTTAAGGTGCTGGACTCCCATATGGACGATCACGGTTCAAGTCCTAGACCTATTGGCTTGCTTTCTTGCTTTCCTTCTCTCTCTCTCTCTGTCTCTTTGGTGAGCACATATGCCCTGAAGCAAAATTTAAAAAACTATTAATAAATACTTTTAAAAATAGTGATAGTAATAATATTCACTGAGGGCTGTTGTGAAGATTAAATGCTTTAATACATAAAAGCATTTATAACAGTGTGTATAGCACATAGTAAATGTCAACTGTATTATCAAATGTATTATGTCGAATTATCATCTCCTAAGCAAACAGTAAAGCCGAGTGATAATTATTTCTAATTCTCTGTTAGGAAATTTGTACATAGCCAAGTTTAGGCAGCAATGTAGAGTATCACAAAATTTGCATAAACCAACTTGAATAAGTTAGACCCAAGAAAAATCATTCATTTGATCAAGTTCAGATTGATCATGAAGCAAATCGGGCAACTGTGTATAGGTTCCAAATATTTAGGGTCTTAAATATATAAAACCATACAGAAGTCCACTAGATATAGCCTTTAAGCCCAATGTGATCATGAGTGTGTTTTATTTATCTTCTTTTTAAGAGTGCGGTTTGTATGCAGAATAAATGTCTACATTTTCAGGTAGCTTTTAAGGAGATGGGTTTTAGCAATGTTGTTAGATTATTACCAAGAACTAAAACCTTATGTATTATTTAAAGTGTTGGCAATATTTTATCACTTGTAGAAGTGGCTATTTGAGCTTATACCGTGGTAAGTATTTATACTGATAGATCTTTGGACCAGTGGGATAGCACATTCAGCTAGAACTCAGCTATGTACTGATCATATGCTTCTCATTCATACTTGCTTATTGCAGCTGTCAGAATGTCAGTGTTTTATCAACTATTACAATTTAATTAAAGTAAAATGCTGTGATGAGTGACTAATAATAAGTTCATACTAAATTGTGGGAATATCCATGGATGGGAGATAATTTGAGGCAAGTTATACAAAAGTTCAAAAGTTACAATTTCTTTCTTTTTTTTCCCCATTTCTCTTTATCATGATAAAGCACACAAGGGAGAGTGTGAGAAAGAAAGAGATGATCACTCTCTACAGGTCATGCAATGATTCCCTTCCTCCAGTGCTATAGCCTGTTGGATCCTGGGCATAGGCAGTCATGTGCATGCACACCATGTTCCTTACTGGCAGGGCCATGGATTCAAACTGTAACTGCCATGTGGGGATCGACTTCCCTTGACAGCACATTACTGCTGCACAGCAGAGCTGGGCCTTAAGGAACGGAACTTGCCCTGCACAGGAACCCAGGATCTCTAAGTATTTCTACCTTGGGTCTCAAAGAATACTCACAAGTATTTTTTCCAGGGGAAGTAAGCCAGTTCACAGACACAATCTCACACAAGATCAATAAAGTGAAAACCACACCCAAGTATGGCATATAAAACATCAGGAAAACAAAAGAATTGTAAAGCAGCCAGAGGTAAAAAATAAAGAAATAAATAAGAGTCTCACACACATACACACAAAACAACTGTAGCACAGCTGATTTATTAATAGCAACAACAGAAACCAGAGGAGAGTAGAATGATCTCTTCCAAGGAGAAGAGGAACCCAAAAATCTGCCAATCTATAACTCTATAGCTAATAAAATATTGAGCAAGAAAGAGGATGATAAAGCTACTTTCAGATATTAAAAAGTTTACTATTAAAAAAAAACTCATTGAAGAGAACTCTAAAGAAAAAGATCTTCAGAAAGAAAGTGATCTATTAGGTCATCAGAAAAGTCATGAAGTATTTTTCTGTTTTTGTATATGCAAAAATGTATCATGACTTTTCCAGTGACCCAAAGATGAAAATGTCTTAGATCCAAAGTGGAATCAAGAAAACACAGCGGGAATTGGATTGACATAAATTTAGAGGCTTCTGGTCACCATTTTCTGCCACATAGACCAAAGAACAGAAAAACCAGTTGACAAAGTAGCAGATTTATAAAGGAAAGAGGAAGACACAAAGTCATGGTACACTGTAAGCCCCTGGTTCCAGCTAGCCCTGAGGCCCAATGAAATCCTCTCCTTGAGAACTAGGAGATACCTCAGTGTCCTTATATTAAGCTTTACTTTTCATTTCAGAGATGTAGAAAAAGAAAGGCCAGAAATTAAATAAATAGAAACATACAATAGAAAAAATGAAAATTAAGCACTCATTTTTTGTGAAGGCCAATAAAAAATATATATCTTCTACCAAGACTGAAAGAAAAAACTGATGATGCAGTCGGTAGTGAACTGAACTGCAGTGCTGAAAGTCACATGCCAACCTGCAGTTCAGATTTCTGGGTTGGCTTGAAAACATGCCTGGCCTATGTATGTGTGTCCAGGATCTTAATAAGCTGGAGGACTGAGGAAAGGGAATCACAGTGTGATAAGACTTTGCAGAGGGCGTTTCCCTTTTTCTTTCTCCCTTTCTTTAGTATGTGCACACGTGCTCTCTGTCATAGATAAAACAAAAAAAGAGAGAGGCACTAAGATATTAGGAATTTTTTTAAATGGCAGAAATAAAATATAATAAAAGAATGCTTTGAAGAACTTTATGCCAAACAGTTTAAAAACTCAGAGAAAATGGTGTAATGGTTACGTTGCTGGACTCCCACGTAGTCGACCACAGTTTGAGTCCCAGACCTGGCGGCTTAAACTCGTGCCAGGTGAGTGTATGTGTGTGCACAAGATCTCAAGAAGAAAATGGAGGAGAAGGGATTGCAACATGGCCATCCCCCTTGGGGGGTGATTTCTCGCTTTCTGTCTTTCTGGCGAGTACACGCACCCTATAGCAAAATACCTTTCCAAAAAAACAGTCCTGACAAATTTGGTTGGGTTTATTCCAGTAATGTGATGATTTTTTTTTTTTAAAGACAGAGGAGATAGAGAAACAGAAAGTGAGAAATCACCCTCAAGAGAGATGGCCACACTGCAATCCCTTCTCCTCCATTCTCCTTCCAGGATTTGGGGCATGCACGCATGCACACCTGGCATGAGTTTAAGCTGTTGGGTCTGGGACTCAAACTGTGGTGGACTACATGGGAGTACAGCAACATAACCATTATGCCATCTGCTGGTCCCCCAGTGATGCAATTAATTCTAATTCAAAATAAAAGATGAAAACTTTATGATTACCTCACAAATGCCAGTAATAACGTTTGATAAAATTTGATATTCAGTATTCAGCACAAAAATATCTTATCCAGCCAGGAAGAAAAATGTCATTAACTGGCCTAGCCATGGTAGTGAACTGGTTGACAGTTATATTCAACAGTCTGAGGCCACAGGGAAGGCCTGGATTCAATTCCCAGCTTACCCTAAAAGCCAGGTCTGGCGGCCGATACCTGTAGTGTCAGCTACTTGGGAAGCAGAAGCAAAAAGATTGTGACATAATAAGACCCTATCTTATAAAAAAAAAGTCTTAAATCCATAAAGAGTATCTATCATAAATCTACAGCAAACATTATTAATTTTTTTTCTTTTTTTAGATAGAATCTCACTGTGTCATGATCTTCCTGCCTCAGTGACCTATGTAGAGTTGGGATTATAGGCATGTACTACCTCACTCAGCTTTTTAGGGTGGGCCTACAATAATTGGGCCACAACATTATTTTTATTTATTTTTTTATTTTTTAAAATTTGCTGTTGGGTGCATTGACTAACCAGAGATGGGGTGAGGGGTACGTAAGAAAGCAGCCCCCCTCCTGGGAGGATGACCAGATCATAATCCCTTTTTCTTCCATTTTTTACTTGGAATTTGGGCATCCGTGCACATACACCCAGTGTATTTTTCAAGCTACCAGATCTGGAACTCAAACTGTGCAGTCAGCCATGTGGGATCCAGCCACCTTAACTACCGTACTATTAGATGACCCTAAAATCTTTCTTCTTCTTGTTTTTTTTTAAGAATTACTTATTTCATTTTATTTATTATTACTATTATTTTAAAATTTGTTATAGGGCAGATGTGCTTACCAGAGGAAGACACAGAGAGAGAGCCGAGAGCAAGAGAACAAGGGAGAGAGAGAGAAAGTAAGCTGCCAGGTCCATGACTTGCACTGTAGTCAGAGAGAGAGAGAGAGGGGGAGAGAGAGAGAGAGAGCGAGAGCTGTCAGGTCCAGGACTTGCACTGTAGTCAGCCATGTGGGAGTTTAGTGCTTTAACCACCACACCACCTGCTGACCCCCAAACTTTATTTTTAATGGTGAAAACATAATAAGCACTTCCTTTAAAAAGTTATGTACGAGGTAAGGATACCCACTCTTGATTCTTGCATTGAGTACTGAACTGGGGAGTCCTAATTAGCATAATAAGGTAAGAAAAATAAATGAATGTTATAAGCACTGAAAAACCAGTTTTCATTCACAGTAGGCTTCTTAGTGAAAAGAGATTAATATTACATTGGTTAAGATTAATTGGGGCCAGCAGGTGGCATGGTGGTTTGGGCACTGGACTCCCACATGGCCTACCACGGTACGACTCCCATACTTAATGGCTTGTTTTCGCACTTTCTCTCTCTCTCTCTCTCTCCCTCTGTCTCTCTCTGGTGAGTGCATGTGCCCTGTAGCAAATTAAAATAATAATGATGATAAATAAAATTA